ACGTCTTCAGCACAATGAGAGGGACTCCATCGGGCCCACTCGACTTGCTGACGTCCAGGGAGAAGAGTGCTTTGCGAACCGAGCGCTGTGTAAACCGCACATCCGGCATTGAGCACCCACATCGCGGGATGGTCGGCGGTGTGTTCCCCCCGTCTAAAGTCGAGTTGGACGCAAAGAGAGAGCTCAACAGATCGGCTTTCTCCTTTGCGGCATGGGCCAGTGAGTCGTCCTCTCTGTGCAGAGATGGAAGAGATGGCTGACAGAAGTTCCCTTGGACAACCTTTGCGAGAGACCAGAATGCACGGGTTCCCGAAGGAAGGCGAACTAGTTTCTCGCCAATTCTGCCGATGTGCTCAGACTTTGCCTTGGCAATGACGCTTTTGAAGGACCTGGAGGCGGAATTATACTTCTTTTTAAGTGCGCTGGTGTTTACATCCCGAGACGTTAATGCGTCAGCCCAGGCCTGGTAGCACTCCTGCTTATAGCGTGATGCTATTTTACAGGAGCGACCAAACTATGGCTGGGATCGGCCTCCGATGGGTACCACAGAGGATGGAATAAAAAGTTCCATACCCTGAAGTACCACAGCAGCAACAGAATCGGCAACAACGCTGGGATCTTCCGGTGAGAAGCAAACCCGCCCCCAAGGGTAGGATGTAAAAAAAACCGCATCCCGTCCCAATCGGCTGAACTATAGTGCCAAACACGGCGGCAAGCTGCAGATCGCAACTGTGATTGGAGCATGAGTGGCACCGTACTCCGGATCAGACAATGGTCCGAAGAGCCCAGAGGGGCATCGTCGGAGACCTGATATCCGTCCGGATGAGAGGTCAGCAGAAGGTTCAACAGGGAAGGTACATGGTCTTCCACATCTGGGATCCGCGTAGGCGAAGTAACCAGTTGTGTTAGACCATATGCCAAGGCAAAGTCATAGACAGATCTACCCGCATGATCGGTTAAACGAGAACCAAACCATTTAGCGTGGTGGGCGTTAAAACCACCGAGTATCACGATCTCTGCGGATGGGACCTGTTGTAGCACGGAGTCTGCAGCCATTTGGACGTGGTGGATGAGTCGGTCTGTATCGGCATTACCGCTATGGGACCTATACCCCGTAGGCACCCGTAGACGCGGGGATGGTCGTCGCTGTCTACGCGCAGCAATCGAAGTCTAAAACAGATGTCCTCTCTAACGTATACGCAGACTCCAGCCCGGGGCAAAAAGGAGTGTTCTAATTTGTACCCCGGGTAGGGGAGATATGAAGTATCAGCCGAAGAGGACACCTGAGTCTCGGTTAAAAAGAGCAAGTCCGGCTTCGCCGTCTCTAGATGGTAATGGACACGTTAAGGTTGGAATGAAGTCCCCTGATGTTGCAAAAATTCACGGATAGCGTGACAGGGATCACCTTGGATTTATTGCTCCGCTTGCCCCGAGCAGCATTAGTCGCGACCGGAATTTTGCGTCGTGGATGCTCAGCGAGGGATTCTCCAGGGGTGCTGGTACCCTCCTGGGGTAGTCTTTAATTTAATTCCACTACCATGTTGATGGGAGAGGGGGGGATTGAGCCTCCGGCCACCTGCACTCTCCAAGCGCAACGCAGAGGTAAACCTCTACTTCACGCTGGCATTCTGTGAGGTCGTGGTACCACCCCGGTTCTAGCCGGCCCATCCGTGCGACGGCAAAAACTGCCGCGTGGCTCTACCACTGTTGGAAAGTTGAAGTAAAAGACTACTGGACTTGGGGCCCAACTGTGGTCGTAGACATCTACATATATCCTCGATTACGAATCAAAATGCAGTACTAATCCATTGGGCTATGTCGTTCACTTTCGTTCTACTGCGGACATCCTCCTTTCTAAGTTTATCACGCAGAGAAACCTCGTGCATATCCCTCTCCATAGCTCGCTGAACCAGTAGGGAAGGACCACGTCTCAGTTCCATAAGTCATCACGGGCAACACGCCCTGGTTGTACAGTTACGTTTTCAGGTTTTGAGGTATACCTGACGAGAAGATGTTTCGTAATTTCCCGAACGTTGCCCAACCGAGTCGAATCGATTGACCTCTGACTTACCTATTCGGACTATTTGTCCCAGGTAAACACATTCGTCAACAACTTCGAGCTTAGTGCTCCCAAGAACTACCGGCATAGGTGTGACATGGACGTTATACATGATGTTTGTTTTCTCCATGTTCATCTTAAGACCTATCCGTTGGGAGGCACAATTGAAGTCATTGAGCATAGTGCTTAGGTTCTCCTGCAATTCTGCCATAAGAACTATATCGAAGGTGAGTGATGTACTCGCCATTGACGTTAATACCGTATCCTTTCCCAAACCACTTCAGCACTTCGATATATCGACAGTCAACTTGGCACCGCTGAAGGGACTGCAGCACCGCCCAAATTTCGACGGAATCCAAGGCTTTCTCATAGTCCACATACGCCAGACATAATGGCAAATTGTACTCCTTGGCCTTCTATTCAATTTGCCGAAGGGTATGTATGTCTTCTATAGTCTTTTCGGAAACTAGCTTGTTCTAGAGGCTGGGGTCGTCGAGTCTGCGTGCAAGACGATTCGTAATGACTCGAAAACAGCACGTAGACACGGCTCAGAAGTGAAATCGATCTGTAGTTCTTCAAGAGAGCATTGTCACCTTTCTTGAAGAACAAGTCTACCGCACTTCTGCTCCACGCCTCCGGAGTAGTGCCACTATGGAGGACGGAATTAAAGAGCTTCTGAAGGACTTTAAGTTCCTGTTTTCCACCCGCTTTCAGAAGCTCCGCGGTAATTCCATCCTCGCCCGGGGACTTGCCGTTTTCAAGATGCTGGAGAGCGATTCTAATCTCGCTCAGACTGACGTCTGGGATATCATCGGAATAGTGTCGGATAAGAATTGCTCTTGGATCGTTACTCACACTTGCGTGTGGCTCCAACGATGATGTGTACAGCTGCCCATAGAACCTCTCAATCTCACTCAAAATGTCAGGTGTCCCTGAAACGATGCTGCCACATTCGGACTTCAGCTACGACAGTGGCAGACATATCTCTAGTAAAGACTTTGGAGCCTTGGTTCCACTCGATCGCTTCTTCAATACGAGCAGTATTAAAGTTGCGTAAGTCCCACCGCATGCATTTGGAGATATGTCTGTTCAGTTGTCTGTATGCTGTCAAATCTACTAAAGACTGCAGGTTCATTTCCCGTCTAACAGCCATGAGATTAAGAGTAATAGGAGAGTTTTGTGTTCTTCTGCGGTGGGTCTTGCAGAACTTAGCTCCGACCGCATGGACAGTTTCCACGAGCTTGTCATTGTAATCTTCTAGGTACTGAAAACGGTTTTGTAACTCGAGCTGAAAGGTTTCGGGACTCTCAATTAGAGCACGAGGGGGACAGAGCGTTGGCTTCATTAGACGACACCTCTCCACCTTAACGTTTAGGTTCAGTGTGCCTCTAACTATTCGGTGATCGCTACCAGTTTTCACCCTCGCGATCACTGACTCATTACATTCATTAATGAGATTTAAATTAGTTAAAATAAAAAGAATCCTTAAAAACAATAAAGAAAAATCATTGACTAAGTTTCGCCAGGACTTACGTGGTAGAGCCATGCCGCAGCTATATTAGTAGTATAGTTGTAGCACGAATGGGTCGGCTCGACCGGGGAAGGACCACGCTCTCATAGAAAACCAGCGTAAAATAACAGCTTAACGCTGCTGTGTTTCGTATGGTGAGTGTAGAGAACCGGAGACCCTTTTTACTGGCAAAGAGGCATTCCATCTTAGTCCTCACGGGTGACAACGCATCTGCATCTTGAGTCTTTATTGAGGATAGATGTAGATGTCTATGGGTCACAGTAACCACTTACCATCAGGCGGACTGTATGCTCGTTTGACACCCTATGTCTTGCTTAATAATAAAGTATTAAGTAAAAATTATATTACTAACATAGATGTAAACAATTTAAATTTTTTTTATTTATTATTTATTTAAGTTGCTATTATATTCATTATAATATAATAGTCATTATATGCTAAATTTAAGAGAAACAACAACGGGTCCAATAAACCGAGAATGCTATTGAATGATTTCCGTTACGTGCTTGATTGAAGCCGCCTGACTTTCTCACAACCACAAGTAAAAACAAAGAATAATAATTTATCTATATTACAAAAAATTAGTGCAGATTTCTTGAATATTGATTAAATGTTTTTTTTTTATTTTATCCTAAAAATCTACATGTCCGAGAAATAAAAGAAATATTGCAAATTCGGCCAGAACGCATAGAAACAGCTACAGATTTAGAATTTCTCGCTTGTAGCGCGGCGGAGACTTCCTTGCTCTAAAAACCCACCCAAAAATGAGAGGAGGCCTCTGACTAACACTGGGGCTTGGCAAATAATATAGGCTGTAACTAACCTAATATCAAATATTTGTATCCCATTCGAAATATTATGTTGTTACAACCATGTTTATCTGTGATCGCTACACTTGACATCATGAGTATCAACTATCGCAGTTCAAGGCGTCTCGCACTTGTATATCGAAAGTTATATACCAACGCTATTATGTACGTTGTATCAACATTAACAAAAGTCACTCACTAGACATTTACGTGGTAGAGCCATGCTGCAGCTATATTTGTAGTATAGTTGTAGCACGAATGAGTCGTCTTCGGGGAAGAACCACGCTCTGAAAGAACATCAGCGTAAAATTTTAACATTGGTGGTTTCCATGTGAAAGATTTTCCGTAATCGCCATGTTTAGCACAGTGCTTATTGCATCTTGGTGTTGCCATCTATCGTAGATTTGAAGACTACAATATTTTCCTTAAATTTCTTTCTAATTATCTTATCATGCTACCACATGACTAATTATGTGAGCGATGGTCATACTCAGTTTTAAAAACCGTAATAATATAAATTAGAGGACGATATTAAAATTGGTGATCTTAGAAAAGCTACTAAAATTAAGGGTTTTTTTTTCATATCAATTCTCTTTTTCAGCTTGAACCTTTCATTGAAGAAGACCCTACCGATCTAGAGACTAGTCACCCGAGGTTGGTGCTCACATCTGAAGACAACACCCCTACAGCGGATAGATACTCCAACGGGTCTCCGCCCATCTTCAAGCATCGATCCAACGTCGCGTTGGACGACCGATCGCTCAACAAGTTGGACTTCGCGCGATCCGCCAGTGCCGCCCAAGTTATGCGACTGGCGGACGAAAGAACCAGAAAAATCTCGACGTCTTCCAAACACGGGATACCCCAAATATCAAGCAAAATCTCCAATCATTTACCGAGCAACCCGTCGTTATTAGAATCCGTTCCCGAAGGGAGGCCTGGCCGCGCGAACTCGCATGACACTTTCAGCAGGAAACTCGTTGTACCAAAAACGCCAAAACGCAGTCCCTCTACTTCAAGCTTTCAGTATATGTCAACCCCATTTCACGGTTCCACACTGTCAGCGTTCGAAAAACCAAGTGAATTTGCTTCACAATTCAGTCTTAAATCTATTACAGATAGTTTAGCACCGATATCGTATTGTTGTGGTTGCAGAAAGAGACCAAAAGAGGACAATAAAAAGAAAGAGCCAAGCAAATACTTCGATGTGCAACTACTAAAAGATCCAATATATCTTGTAATTTTAATTTCTAACTGCACTTGTGCCATTTCTTACACAAATTTTATCATTTTAGTGCCGTCATACGCGGTTGAATGTGGATTTGATAAATCACTAGGGGCGTACTTGTTGTCGATAATTTCCGCTTTGGATCTGGTTGGAAGGATTGGTGGGTCTGCGATATCGGATGTAGTGACTACGCCTAAACGCTATTTTTTTATAACTGGTTTACTCGTTTCTGGTATAAGTTTGGCATTAATACCGCTAGTGTCGAGCTATTCTGCTATTAGCGCTTTCTGTTCAATATTTGGCATCGCGTCTGGTATTAACGTGGGTGTCACAGCTCTAGTCATGACAGAAATGCTCGGTACGGAAAGGCTGATGTCTTCCTACGGTATAAGTTTGTTTATGAACGGTATTCTGCAATTAATTGGGCCACCCATCTGTGGTTTGTGGTTTGAGCGCACGCATTCCTATAAGTCGTTATTTGTAACCCTTGGTTTGATATTATGCAGCGGGGCTGCCTTGTGGGGCTTCGTACCTTTTATTCATAAAAGGAGAAAAATGGCGGATAGGGCGAAAGAAAGTTTAGGAGGGAAAGCGTAACGGGGATTGCAATGAGTTCTGTCATACAATTGCAAAAATATCGTCAATTCATGTCATTTGAAAGTGTAATTTACGTCATTTGCAACTTGAGACACATATATAATATCTTCAATTAAAAAAAGAGCATTTACAAACTACAACATATCGGTATAATATATTATATGTATTTACTATATTACATTATTTAAATGAATATATATATATATATAACTGTCTCTGATTGTAAGTGATGTAAAATATAAATTTTCTCAGAGAAATTCTAGGGTCCATTCACGTTAGTATTTATTAGTATATACCGTTATTCAATTCCACTGTAATTAATATTAACAGTTTGAGCTTAGTATTTTAGTAGTATACTTTTAATAATATATGGATTTGTAGACATCGTTTTTTTTTCAAGCCAATGTTAAAATAATATTTTAGTTATGCTATTGTTAAATCAAACGAGACAGCATGTTTTATTAAGATAACATTCTATCTATGATTATGTATTTTATTGCTCATAACGTATTCTTTTTACTTTTAACGATTTAACAGGATTTATTAACAAAGCTATATTTAACAAAGCTATTTTTGTCACGGCTCGGACCCGTAACAATGGCGCGAAACATGAAATAAGTTGACTTTCAATTCAAAAACACAATTTAATGGAATTTAAATCTTTTTTAGATTAAAATATGTTATAAAATATTAATTATTGTGTTATAGTTAAAATATTATAAACCAGTTTCACGGTCCAGTCTTCTATTTCTTGTATTTAGAAAAGTAGTTACCAATAATTTTAATGATCGTAATCCAGTTATATTTTTCAATTAAGATCTTAGGTGCTTGTACCATAGAGTATCATACGTACTGCATATTAGCACAATTATTATTAACCATTGAGTTATATGTACTACGTACTAGAGAAGCCATTCCAAACAAAAATTGTGTCCTACTCTATGTCTTCGCGCATGCGGGGGAGTAGTAGTCGCGCATGCGCGAAGACTTTAATTTAATATAAAATAAGATATTAATATAAAATAAATATAGGAATTTAATATAAAATATCTTAATTTAATCTAAACAAACATATTTCTAAATAAAATGTAATAATAATTACTTTATGGAATTCACAAATCTTCAATTTACGCAATATTTAGTTTGTATGGATTGCACTACAGTTCACTTGAACATAGTCAACACAGAGTACTTTTGATATACTGAAATAGTCAATGTTCGGAATGGCTTCTCTAGTACGTAGTACATATAACTCAATGTTATTAACTTTATTATTTAACTAGACAAATGCTTATTTTAATATTAATTAATTCAGTTCTTGATTTATTAGGCAAGACTAAAATGATGTAACATTTTACTATTATAAGAATTTATCTACGTATGTATATTTATAAAATGTAAGTTTTAATCAAAGAAATTACTTAAAATATACTTTAAATTTCTTCTACTTGTTTCTTGTTAATTAAGCTTTTTTTTTACTAAATTAATAATGTTTGCTGTGTAACTACTGAGTTTTTCACTTACTATTTTTAATGAACTGTTCGATATTTACTCAATGTGTAAGGGTGCTTTAAGCTATTCATACATTTAAAAAAAGAAATAATAAAACTAGTTTGTGTATCATATAATTACAACTGTGATTTAAAATTAAAAAATTGTATTTAGCGTTCAGTTCTATTGTTGTAATCAAGTCATTTTTTACAAGCATCCTGCAGTCAATTATAGTTTGACAAGTGTGAAAATTTGCCTTAATAGTATAAACTCAATAATATGAAAGTATATAATAGGTATTCTACATTGAAATATACATAATTTATTCATTGTTGGAAGTAAAGACTTTAGAAAGAGTTGGGGGGGTTTGACTCGAACTTTAGGCATAGTCAGTTTGAATTTGGGGGGGGGGGGGGGGGTGACTCGAACTTTAGGCATAGTCAGTTTGAATAGCCTATCGTCGGGGTCATGGTTGAATAGGGGCAAAAAGTTCTTATTACACTCCTAGAGGGTCAAAATGACTAAAAACCAAAAATCAAAAAAGTTTCTTACAGTCTTTACTTCCCGCATCCCACTTATTATAGATTTTAGAAAGTGTTTTAAAATCGGATTGAAAATTTGTCACGCGTATTTAACTACCTCAAACTTAAGAAAATATCTCTTAAGAATAATTTTATATTTATAACTTAATGTAGAAATGTGCCATTGATAAAAATATATATTTAATTATATATTTAATAAATTAATTTAAAAAGAAAATACTAGGTACCTACATCAGAGCAAATATCACACATACAAATGCACATGACAGTATTATGAATAAATTATTAATGTGGCTTATCAAGTATAATCTATAAGTTTTCCAACGCCTTAAATATTTTTTACGTGGTAGAGCCATGCTGCAGCTATATTAGTAGTATAGTTGTAGCACGAATGGGTCGGCTCGACCGGACCAGGCTCTCACAGAATACCTGCGTAAAATAGCAGCTTAACGCTGCTATGTTTCGTATGATGAGTGTAGAGAACCGGAGACCCTTTTTACTGGAAATGAGGCATTCCATTTTAGTCCTCACGGGTGACAACGCATCTGCATTTTGATTCGTAATAGAGGATAGATGTAGATTTCTATGGGCCGCAGCAACCACTTACCATCAGGTGGACTGTGTGCTCGTTTGTCACCCTTATGCTATAAAAAAAAATATTTTTATCCAATTTTAAAGCACTTTCATAACATAAAAACCTGCATCCGTATGTCAAAGAGTATATAAATCACTACGTATGCCGTATGTTAGACTAAGTGATACAAAATCGGTATATAGGTAAGTAAAATCGCTTAAAAGTTATATCGCCTTAATATTTCCGGTCTAAATATAAAAAAAAAACAGCATTTAATGTTAAAACAGAAATTTGTTTTCTTAGTTCCTTGTACTTGATAAATAAGATGAATTATGTAAAAATTAAAAAGTATTTCTTATCTATATTTTAAAATTGATAAATATATATTGTCGATTTATATTACCAATGGCGGCTTCCACAACTTTTTTTGCCACCAGGGTGGCGCCACTTTTGGAATAATTTACACTTTTCTAAAACTAACTTTCCCGCCAAAAATTGACAGATTTTTTGACAGTTTCTTTCTGAAATATTAGTTATATTTTATATTAATCAGATCGAAACTGGAATAAACCAAACTATAGATAAAAGTAGAAGAATTAAAATAGATTTTCAAAAATATGCAAAAAATTTAAGAGCATGCCACTGAGACTTTATATGTGTGCGTACACCGTAAAAAATTTTCAATGATGTAGTGCTGTGTAACAAATAACTTTACCTCAGTCCAAACTAGCGACAACTGGTGAGCGGAAAATTAGCCCTCTGTAACGCAACTTCGAGTGGTAAAGCTTATAAATGTTTTGAAAATATCAAAAGTCAATTTATACAAGATATTACATGATTGTTAATGTTCTAATTTGTGTACCTTATTTCCATATTGGCGTTCTAGTAAAATATATTGTGTGCCGTGCCACCATCTTGTATTCGTCGTCTTTTAAATGATATTGAATTTCTTTATTGCCTTTATTAAGTTAGTTAGTATTTGTAATTTTTCTTTGGTTTGCTTTTGACATTTTGAACACTAATGCTAAATTCACATGTATTTTATATTACTAGAGTCTCGGAGCAACAAAGTAAGAAAAACTGAGCGCTGCATACATTCAAGTAAAACAAAAGCCAAGCCAAAATCATGTTTAATTTATTATAAGAAACGCACTCATGTACAGGGTTTAAGGCATATGTGCGCGTGAACTTTAACAGATAAATAAAAAAAGAAAAGGGAGACATGTGCGTGTCTAGAGTGGTCTAGAGTTAAGCATGGTTTCGGTATCACTTGACAGGACTCAGTCTATTTTTCTTGGTTGGTCTGAGAAGAGGACATCGTTCTGTGACGTTTATTATATTGAGCACTTGAGCTACTTTCTTGTGTTTTGTAATATGTCATTTGTAAAATAAAATATATTTACTTTATTTCTACTTTTATTTAAACTATCTTGCCAAATTGGAACAGTACTACAGTGAAGATGCAGAAGTAGCATACGGAGTCCCACAGGGAAGTGTATTGGGCCCTACTTTATTTCTTGTATATATCAACGACCTTTGTAGCCTAAAAATGAATAACGCAAAAATATTCTCGTATGCAGATGATACAGCAGTCGTCTTTACTGGAAACTCCTGGCAAGCTGTGAAAAATTGTGCCGAAAAAGGAATGGCCCAAATAGCTACTTGGCTAAAATGCAACTTGCTCTCGCTAAACACAAATAAAACAAACTATAATATATGTTTTAGTGTCTACAATAAAAATCAGTCCACTGACAGATTTAGCATAAGGGTTCATGATTGTAGTAGCACCGAGGATGAAAACTGCAATTGCTCGAACATTAATAAAGTTACCCATACTAAGTACCTGGGCGTCATATTGGATCAGAGACTGTCCTGGTACCCACAGCTTGAGCAAGTTGCTGGAAGAGTTAGAAAGTTGATTTGGGTCTTTCGATCATTAAGACATGTGGTTCCAGGTAATAATAAAAAAAATTTTGACCGAGGAACATCAAGGAATATATTGAATGAGATATACATCGCCTTGGTTCAATCTGTCTTGGGATATTGCATTCCTGTTTGGGGAGGTGCGGCGAAAACCAAGATTATTGAGGTTGAGAGAGCACAACGTGCGCTTATTAAAGTTATGTACTTTAAAAATATTAGATACCCTACGGAAAGGCTATATCTCGATAGTGGGTTACTTTCGGTAAGGAAGCTGTATATAAAACAGATCACACTACATAAACACAAAAATATACCTTACGATCCAAGTAAAAAAGGAAATAGAAGAAAAAATAATGTAGCTACAGTGCCCCAATCTAAAACTAAGTTTGCTAGTACTCAATACAATAGTCGTTCGGCTCAAATTTATAATAAAATCAATAAAGAACTAGATATTTACTCGAAACAATATA